GGGGTTCTCGGGGGACAGGGTCGAGGGCAAGGGTGAGGTTCATGCGCACTTGTGATGTGCGCGCTTGCAGAAAACGGTGAGGATATGCAACGCAATGCAGCAACATGTAATGTAGAATGACCATGGGTCGGAGTAGCGTCAACATGCATCAATCTCGAATCACCAACAGACCATGTAACGAGGAAGACACCCGTAGAGGCGGCAATATCGGCAACAACATCTATCTACAAGCCAAGACAACCATCGGGACAACCGTCTTCCAACGACAAGACAACCATCGGGACAACCGTCACCTTCCATCGAACAACTTTGCTCCGTCTGAACAACAGATGTCGGCATCACTATCGATCTCCCAATCCCACCATCAATCGTTGTGTGCTCCTTATACCGGTGCTTCTATGTGCCGTTCTCACTATCGGCCTTTGTATATATATATATATGTATATACATGACCTCCTTTCGGGTGATACAGAGGTTGTGGGTGGAGTTTAGCTTTCGGTGTGCAGTTGGGGTCGGATCGGATTCGGTGGAAACCAGTTGAGCACCACGGATCACCTGTTTCTTCATCTATCTATCGATCCCACTCTCTATACATACCTATCGATCTCACTATCGATCTCCCTCCATGGATCGATGATAATATCTTCAAACTTGACAATCGACCTCACCGTGAATCAAACTATCCATTTGTCGATCCATCTCACAATCGGCCTCTCGGGACACCACGGGACGACATGGGAAACCAGTTGGGCAAAGCGGAACACCACGCCCCGGGACACCACAAGACACCATGGGACACCGCGCCACTGGGAACCACGGGACACCAGCGAGACACCCCCGAGCCACCTCCGGCCAAGCAGGGAGCGTAGAGTCATTGAGCTCAACTTCGCCCCAGCCACGGCGAGTTCTTTCCTCTCGCCCGTCCACGCAGCTTCGCCTCACCCGCTCGCACGACACGAACACGAAACCGAAACAGAGCTCCTGGTGTGGGGTCTCAGTTTCCGTGTCACTCCGAACTCACACCCAAACCTCCGATATACACTTATCGATCTCACTATCGACCTGTCCACCTCACTGACTAAATGTCAACCTCACTGTGAACCTATCGATATCACAATCAATTGATCCCCATATAAACCTCACGATTCCATGGATCTATCGATCTCACTGTCGATATATGAATCTCACTATCTCTCCATCGGGACAACCATCGGATCAACTATCGGGACACCAATCGGGCCTACCGTCGTAACAACCAACGGTTCAACCATCGGGACAACCCCGGCACAACAATCGGGACAACCATTGGGACAACAATCGGGACAACAATCGGGGCAACAATCGAGACAATCACTGGGAAAACCATCGGGACAACAATTCGGACAGCCATCGGGTCAACCTCCGGGACAAACATGTGACAACCATCGGCACAGAGGGTAACCATCGGAACAACCTTCGGGACATTCATCAAGACAACAGTCGGGACAACCATCCAGCCAATCATCGGGAAACCCATCGAGACAACCATCGAGGCAACAGTCGGGACAACCATCGGGACAACCATCGGAACAGCCATCGGGCCAACCATCGGAACAACAATCGAGACAACAACCATCAGACCAACCATCGGGACCACCCTCGGGAAACCAATCGGGACAAACATCAAGACAACCATCGGGACAACCATCGGGACATCCATCGGGGCAACCATCGGGACAACCATGAGAACAACCCTCGGGACAACCATCAAGACAACCATGGGACCATCGGGACAACCACGGGACAAGGGCCTGGCAGCGGCGCTATCACTCCTCTCGCCCGCGCGCGCAGCATCGCCCCGCCCGCACGGACGGCACCGGCACGAAACCGAAACCGGCTTGCCAGTAAGGGGGTTCCGCTTCACTTCTACTTTACTTGCCGGCAGGGGGGTTCCGCGTCACCTCCGGTCGCTCTAGCACTAACAGCTGAAGCAAAGGCAGCGGGAACGGTGACAAATACCGGCGATGACGCACGAGGAAACGCGAGATTTCAGATGAATGCGCAACCCACCCGAGAGAGCCACGGATTCGGTTGGTCATTCCTGATGAGCCTGTTTTCCACCACCACCACCATAAGTTGGAAGGGGGGAAGGAGGAGGAGGGCGAGGAGGAGGGCGAGGAGGAGGAGGACGAAGAGGACGAGGAGGAGGAGGAGGAGGAGGAGGAGGAGGAGGACCCCCCTCCAACTTATGGTGGTGGTGGTGGAAAACACACCCATCAATTCCCTGACAGTGTTGCCGACGTGTCGTGACGGAGGCACGTGCAGCGAACCTGACTACCTCCCAGACCACCCCAACCCAACCCGAAGACCCCAATTTCGAATTTCGAGTTGGGGGAGGGGGTAAGGGTTCCACATGTGTCTTTTCGACGTTTCCCGACCCCCCCCCACTGGAAATCGAGGGTCAATCTGAGCCTTCGGGTTGGGTTGGGGTGGTTTGGTGGGTGGTGCGCTCCGCTCGCAAAAAAAAACAGCGACGGTCCGTGCCCTCCCTCCCCAGCGAGACACCAATAAAACTTGGCAGCGAAACGGAAGGTGGACGAGGTATACTGAAATCTCCAACGTGCCAATACCTCGTGGCTCTGAGCCTTCTATGTGGCGTGTCATTCGAGAACCGGGTGCCATGTCAGATCCCGAGGAGCAGCAGGCTTCGCGCCTTCTCCTGCCTTCCTCTGGTCTTCTCTTGAAAAGGAGAGACAGAGAGAGAGAGAGAGAGAGAGAAAAAAAA